TATTTTTATCCACTCATTGTAATTGATTTATGATAATCATTCGTATATTGATATCATATTCATTCATATTCATCCGATGGTTTATTTAAACGAGAGTGACATTCCATCAAATATGGCCTTTAACTCTAAAGTTCCTAATCTTATTTTTGAAGTAAGCATTAGTTTTGTCTGATTTTTCATGTAACTGCTCTTCTGGATATAGGAATAATTTCTTGCAAAAATCATATATGTTTGGGGTGGGGATGGGGGCCTATACTAATTTCCTAAAATTGATTATCAAAGTCAAGAAATAAGAAGTTGATTCAGAAAATGCTTTCATGAATGACCCGATTACTACATTTTTTAAATATTGCACAAATATATGCTGATACAGAGAGTTTATTACTTTGATTATAATTACTGCATTACTTGATTGCATTTTAACATCATCATATTCGATGTAATGATCAAAATACATAAATCTACCGTTAATTAAAGGGGCAAAAAGGTCTGTAGAGAAAAAATTCAACATTTTTACTTTTTCTGAGCTATCAGGGCAACATTTGGCTTAAAATCTTCATTGTCAGCATTAAGAAGTGTAAACTCAGTTCAAAGCTTCTATAATGGGAGTCCCACTTATAGATTTTTAAGATCCATCACGTTTCAAGAGGAATATCAGCTGAAATAATGTTCATCCAGGGGTTTCTTGGGAGAAATTAAAAATATATATTAGTCTTGATGAAATATCCAAACTTGAACATATTTTGACACTGGTTCGTGATCGTTGAATTGCACTAATTGTTGCACCTTTAAAAGAAACAAAGATTTGTCTATATTTTGTTATACCCTTAAAGATGCATTATGCCACAGGTTTCTCCCCCAGACGATCAACGATGTCCTTGTGTTATTGCTCATATAATATCTCACATACGAGATACCATGGATATATCTTGAGAATAACTTTTGGGTATATTATTGTCGAATTATCGCCCACAAGCGTCTTGAACCAGGGAGCCAATCAGGTTTATGATAAACAAATTCAACTGTAGTTTTTTACCAGTTGACGTTTAACAACTGAGAAATCAAACATTGCGTTACGTCGTGAATACCGACAATGTTAGTGTGTTTTTCTTTTTGTTTCATATTAATGAACTTAAAGGGGCAAAGTGCGTAAATGAAGTCTCACTTTTGTTCTTCATAGTATTTCCAATGGATTAATAAGTACCTGATCTTTTATTTGACACCAAAAACAGCTCAAACAGACCACATCAGAGTTGACACTAGATCATGAAAAAATATTTTTGATCCATCAATTTATAGATGCCAAGTTTTTAGCAATACCATAGAAAGATGGCATTGTTGTTTGCATTAATTGTCCATTCATTTTTGAAAGGATTTTCAACCATACACCATCTTTTAGTCCAAGAGTTATTTAAAAACATACACTTTGTGAAAAGTGGTCATTCACTTCTTTTGGTCTCTGAACTTCAAATGCTGTTTTCTATGCAAGTAATTTTTTTTCACTTCAGTATTGACCCAAATTAAAGCTTTTATCATATTTGATTGACTGTGTGAGTGACATGTCTCAAATAATAGTTTGTCCCTTTTCCTTAAAAAATAAGCGCATTGCCTGTTTAATGCAATGTTACGTGCGTTTTCTCATCGTAATCCAAACTGACTAACAAGAATGAAATTGGTCTTCTAACAACTGAGACATTGTCAACATTATCTTCTTACTATATAGCACAGTGGTCTGTCTAGCTGTCCAGACATCTCCACCAAGACAGTTAGATCTTGGGCCATCATACTTTGTCATCATACTAATTGGGTCGGTGGTCATGCAAGGTCAGGATCGTCTAAGGGTCAAAGGTCAATATCTAGGAATTTGCCTTTTTAAGACCCCTGGTCTATGCTGTGACCCTTGAAGTAATTAAGTAACCTGAGGTCAAGGTCAACTTTATTGGTCAAGGTCATCCCAAGGTCAAAGGTCAATATCTTGGTATTTGGCGTTTTAATGCATCCGGGGACTATAATGCTCTTGTTGATCCATTATTAGGTAGCCTGAGGTCAATGTCATTCCTTGGGACGTGCTGTGACCCTTGGTGACCACGGGTAAGGTCACCTGAGGTCAATGTCATTCATAGGCCAAAGGTTAATATCTAGGTATTCATTGATTAGGTGACCTGAGGTCAACGTCAGTGTTTATGAATCAAGGTCATCTCAAGGTCAAAAGTGAATATCTAAGTATCTGGCGTTTGTTTTAATTACCTTTAAAGTGCTATGACCATTGGCGACCCAATATTAGGTGTCCTGTGGTCAAGGTCATTCCGTCAATATCTAGGTATTTGTACTTTAAAGACCCTGGGGGCTGTTGTGACCCTTGGCGACCCATGATTAGGTGACCTGAGGTCAAGGTAAATGTAAATGGGTCAATGTTTTCTCAAGGTCAAAGGTCAATATCTAAGTATTTGATATTATAAGGACCTTGGCAGCTGTGGCTCTTGGTTATCATTGATTGGGTGACCTGACTTTATTCCATTTTTCCTTGAGAAAATATGATAAGGGCCTTGGAAAATATCATATTGACACTCAGGCTATCGCCCTCGGACAATATTATATTTTCCTTGGTCAATATCATATTTTCCCACGGAATAGAATTCATATTCCATCCCTTCCATTGAATAACCTCTATTTATTCCATTATAACATGTTTTCCCTGGGAAATAAACAGGGAATAGAATTGATATTCAAAAACAAAAAATCCTGTATCAGATCAGCCAAAATCCCCTATCAGATCCCGTATTGAATCCTGTCAGCCAAATATACAGGGATTGAATATGGGTTTTATTCCGAGGGACAATATGATATTGACCATGGGAGCGCAATATTATATTTTCCGAGGAATAAAACACATATTCAATCCTGACCAGAAATAACTGATTTATTCCATGATAAACATGTTAGCTTAAAAATAACCGGGAAACCAAAAATAGGTTAATAATTAGTTCCAATACGATTTTCTCGGGGAAAATACGTTTTTTCGTGCAATACGCTCCAATACGATTTTTTTCCGGGGACAATACGATTTTTTCATGTAATACGATTCAATACGATTTTTATTCCTTCATATTTCCCTGGGAAAACAGTAGTTAAAATTGGAATAAAATCCCGTATTAATAGTATTTTGTTTTTTTCGTTTCGGGATTTTATTCCAATTTATTACTGTTTTCCCAGGGAAATATGAAGGAATAAAAATCGTATTGAATCGTATTACATGAAAAAATCGTATTGTCCCCGGGAAAAATCGTAATCCAAATCCAATTCATTGTTGAGTATGTACTCTCAAGGGAAAGGAGAAGTAATAACAGTTACCAATTGATTTATAAAAGGACTTCAGGTGTTATTTCTAGTCATCATTTTTCATGTTTTAACAGTTATATCCATGTTATGCATATATTCTCAATATTTCCAAAATTGTTTATTGTTTTTACATCCATCAGGTGATTTTTGTGGTACATGTTACTCTTGACCTCGGAAGAGATATCATCCTTGCGATATTCCCCATATCAAATCCCTCCTTGTAAATAATTACTGATCCCCCTCCATTTACTTGTCTTTTGTGCTAAATAATAGATATGTCTTTTATCTATGGCTATTGAAAATGGTATAATGTTTCTTGCCAAAAGTTATTTTGGAAAAAACCTTCTGTCAGTTTTAGGGTCAATGTTTGAACTTGATTATTAAAGAGCTAAATGCACGAATAATGACTAAAAGCTATTATTAAATTACAATTCACAATGAATATACATGCAGTTATCTGCTAGATATTTTTTAAATATGTTTACAAAAAGAAATGTGGTACTTTAAATAAACATTAAGATCCGACAGAAAATGATAATTTTATTTAACTAAACACATGGATGTGATTACTTTGACTTTTTGTGGCAATTATGTCAGTTATGACGTCATGATTAAAACGCTTGTGGGCTATTTTGTATAAATCATACTTTATCAAATAGGTAAAAGCATTACCTTTTATTTGATACCAAACATTTAATCATCTGACGAAAAATGAAAATGATACCTCAAGATAAAACATACCTCGAACCTTCTGTTTTGTTGATATTTCTTTCAAAAAGGATGAGTTTCAAAACAATTTTTGTTTGTGCATGTTACACCATTTGGTCTCATAAAAAATATGTTGGACCGAAATGGCACATTGCATACATCATTTTAAAGCTTCTATCATACTCTTTCAAATTGATATGAAAAGTGGGGAAAATACATCATGATTTTAAATAATGGGACCTTTATATAGGTACATAACCAATTTTTACATTAACATATTTTGAAAATTGTCAGTTATGACGTCACAATTGCTATGTTAACGAGCTAGTTTACATTCTTCATACCTCATTATAAAGGTGGCATCATAAGCTTTCCTTTGATACCCATATCATAATTATCTGATGATTAATAAAAAAGATACATGCAAATACATGTTTTTCATTAATAATGCTTGTTAAAAATGGTTGTTATTTATAACGCCCGTTTCCATAGCAACGGCCCGAGTGAAAATTTTATTTTTTCTTGAATTCCTAAAGTATGGTATTGGGGCTTTCCAATGATACCAAAATTTCAGTGGGGGTCAAAAAAAATATTAAACTCTCATTTATATCTGAATTCCTACTCGTCTATTAGTATACAGGGTGTATATAAAATGGTGGTCTAAGAATATCCCGCTTTTGAGTTATCAAATTTAATACCATGCAGCAACAGCATATTTGTATTTAATATTGTAAAGAGAATTAGATTTTCAATGATTTGACAGTAGGCTATTATCCATCAAGTGGAAGTACAACTATATTTATATTATATTAATTTTTATGACACGAGGGGATATCGTAGTGCATTAAGTTTATATACATGTAATGACGTATTACATCAGTGCCAAACTCAAAACATTGTAATACTAGCTAGGTTTTCAAACTTACATTTGGGTTTATTATTGTTTGCTTTAGAGATGAGAGCAATGACCTAGAGGAGTCAACTGGTACAGAGGCAAGTCTCGGAGCTAATATCGTCAAGGCAACAAGAAGAACACAGGCCAGGGAGGATCCCATAGCTTCAAGTATGACATCCCTTTGAATATGCTTCGATTTATCATTGAGTAATTTATGCAATAGACATAAATGATAACTGGTAATAAGGCTAAGCTGAATGGATTGTACACCTCTCCTATAGAGGACAGTATAATTAGTTGGTTCATGAATCTTATTTCTTTCAACCAAGGTCTAAAGGACTGATAATGCCAGTCTCAATGTCCAATACCAATTCTTGAACCAATGAGAAAGGTCTAAAGGACTGATAATGCCAGTCTCAGGTCCAATACCAATTCTTGAACCAGTGAGACCTAATTTTATCAATGTAACAATGTTTTATATGTACAATGTTCGATATGTACACCAACATTGAGTGAAATAAACAATTTAAAACATGTATGATCTCTTTCAGATGTAGCTGTAAAAGATGTTGCCACATCTCCGCTGAAATCTGGACGTAGAGCAATGCATAGAGGGAATACTATTAGTCAACAACAGGCAAAGCAACAAAGTCTCCTGAGGCACAGAGTCAGCTCATTGCAACAACAGGTTTGTTAAACCCTGCTATAGCTCTATAGTAGCCACAATAGAACAAGGTTTGTTAAGCCCTGCTATAGCTCTATAGTAGCCACAATAGAACAAGGTTTGTTAAGCCCTGCTATAGCTCTATAGTAGCCACAATAGAACAAGGTTTGTTAAACCCTGCTATAGCTCTATAGTAGCCACAATAGAACAAGGTTTGTTAAACCCTGCTATAGCTCTATAGTAGCCACAATAGAACAAGGTTTGTTAAGCCCTGCTATAGCTCTATAGTAGCCACAATAGAACAAGGTTTGTTAAACCCTGCTATAGCTCTATAGTAGCCACAATAGAACAAGGTTTGTTAAGCCCTGCTATAGCTCTGTAGTAGCCACAATAGAACAAGGTTTGTTAAGCCCTGCTATAGCTCTATAGTAGCCACAATAGAACAAGGTTTGTTAAGCCCTGCTATAGCTCTATAGTAGCCACAATAGAACAAGGTTTGTTAAGCCCTGCTATAGCTCTATAGTAGCCACAATAGAACAAGGTTTGTTAAACCCTGCTATAGCTCTATAGTAGCCACAATAGAACAAGGTTTGTTAAGCCCTGCTATAGCTCTGTAGTAGCCACAATAGAACAAGGTTTGTTAAGCCCTGCTATAGCTCTATAGTAGCCACAATAGAACAAGGTTTGTTAAACCCTGCTATAGCTCTATAGTAGCCACAATAGAACAAGGTTTGTTAAACCCTGCTTTAGCTGTATAGTAGCCACAATAGAACAAGGTTTGTTAAGCCCTGCTATAGCTCTATAGTAGCCACAATAGAACAAGGTTTGTTAAGCCCTGCTATAGCTCTATAGTAGCCACAATAGAACAAGGTTTGTTAAGCCCTACTATAGCTCTATAGTAGCCACAATAGAACAAGGTTTGTTAAACCCTGCTATAGCTGTATAGTAGCCACAATAGAACAAGGTTTGTTAAGCCCTGCTATAGCTCTATAGTAGCCACAATAGAACAAGGTTTGTTAAGCCCTGCTATAGCTCTATAGTAGCCACAATAGAACAAGGTTTGTTAAGCCCTGCTATAGCTCTATAGTAGCCACAATAGAACAAGGTTTGTTAAACCCTGCTATAGCTCTATAGTAGCCACAATAGAACAAGGTTTGTTAAGCCCTGCTATAGCTCTGTAGTAGCCACAATAGAACAAGGTTTGTTAAGCCCTGCTATAGCTCTATAGTAGCCACAATAGAACAAGGTTTGTTAAGCCCTGCTATAGCTCTATAGTAGCCACAATAGAACAAGGTTTGTTAAGCCCTGCTATAGCTCTGTAGTAGCCACAATAGAACAAGGTTTGTTAAACCCTGCTATAGCTGTATAGTAGCCACAATAGAACAAGGTTTGTTAAGCCCTGCTATAGCTCTATAGTAGCCACAATAGAACAAGGTTTGTTAAGCCCTGCTATAGCTCTATAGTAGCCACAATAGAACAAGGTTTGTTAAGCCCTGCTATAGCTCTGTAGTAGCCACAATAGAACAAGGTTTGTTAAACCCTGCTATAGCTGTATAGTAGCCACAATAGAACAAGGTTTGTTAAACCCTGCTATAGCTCTGTAGTAGCCACAATAGAACAAGGTTTGTTAAGCCCTGCTATAGCTCTATAGTAGCCACAATAGAACAAGGTTTGTTAAGCCCTGCTATAGCTCTATAGTAGCCACAATAGAACAAGGTTTGTTAAGCCCTGCTATAGCTCTGTAGTAGCCACAATAGAACAAGGTTTGTTAAACCCTGCTATAGCTGTATAGTAGCCACAATAGAACAAGGTTTGTTAAGCCCTGCTATAGCTCTATAGTAGCCACAATAGAACAAGGTTTGTTAAGCCCTGCTATAGCTCTATAGTAGCCACAATAGAACAAGGTTTTTTAAGCCCTGCTATAGCTCTATAGTAGCCACAATAGAACAAGGTTTGTTAAGCCCTGCTATAGCTCTATAGTAGCCACAATAGAACAAGGTTTGTTAAGCCCTGCTATAGCTCTATAGTAGCCACAATAGAACAAGGTGTGTTAAACCCTACTATAGCTCTATAGTAGCCACAATAGAACAAGGTTTGTTAAACCCTGCTATAGCTCTATAGTAGCCACAATAGAACAAGGTTTGTTAAGCCCTGCTATAGCTCTCTAGTAGCCACAATAGAACAAGGTTTGTTAAGCCCTGCTATAGCTCTATAGTAGCCACAATAGAACAAGGTTTGTTAAGCCCTGCTATAGCTCTATAGTAGCCACAATAGAACAAGGTTTGTTAAGCCCTACTATAGCTCTATAGTAGCCACAATAGAACAAGGTTTGTTAAGCCCTGCTATAGCTCTATAGTAGCCACAATAGAACAAGGTTTGTTAAGCCCTGCTATAGCTCTGTAGTAGCCACAATAGAACAAGGTTTGTTAAGCCCTGCTATAGCTCTATAGTAGCCACAATAGAACAAGGCTTTTTAAACCCTGCTATAGCTCTATAGTAGCCACAATAGAACAAGGTTTGTTAAACCCTGCTATAGCTCTATAGTAGCCACAATAGAACAAGGTTTGTTAAGCCCTGCTATAGCTCTATAGTAGCCACAATAGAACAAGGTTTGTTAAACCCTGCTATAGCTGTATAGTAGCCACAATAGAACAAGGTTTGTTAAGCCCTGCTATAGCTCTATAGTAGCCACAAAAGAACAAGGTTTGTTAAGCCCTGCTATAGCTCTATAGTAGCCACAATAGAACAAGGTTTGTTAAACCCTGCTATAGCTGTATAGTAGCCACAATAGAACAAGGTTTGTTAAGCCCTGCTATAGCTCTATAGTAGCCACAATAGAACAAGGTTTGTTAAACCCTGCTATAGCTCTATAGTAGCCACAATAGAACAAGGTTTGTTAAGCCCTGCTATAGCTCTATAGTAGCCACAATAGAACAAGGTTTGTTAAGCCCTGCTATAGCTCTGTAGTAGCCACAATAGAACAAGGTTTGTTAAGCCCTGCTATAGCTCTATAGTAGCCACAATAGAACAAGGTTTGTTAAGCCCTGCTATAGCTCTATAGTAGCCACAATAGAACAAGGTTTGTTAAGCCCTGCTATAGCTCTGTAGTAGCCACAATAGAACAAGGTTTGTTAAGCCCTGCTATAGCTCTATAGTAGCCACAATAGAACAAGGCTTTTTAAACCCTGCTATAGCTCTATAGTAGCCACAATAGAACAAGGTTTGTTAAACCCTGCTATAGCTCTATAGTAGCCACAATAGAACAAGGTTTGTTAAGCCCTGCTATAGCTCTATAGTAGCCACAATAGAACAAGGTTTGTTAAACCCTGCTATAGCTGTATAGTAGCCACAATAGAACAAGGTTTGTTAAGCCCTGCTATAGCTCTATAGTAGCCACAATAGAACAAGGTTTGTTAAGCCCTGCTATAGCTCTATAGTAGCCACAATAGTACAAGGTTTGTTAAGCCCTACTTTAGCTCTATAGTAGCCACAATAGAACAAGGTTTGTTAAGCCCTGCTATAGCTCTATAGTAGCCACAATAGAACAAGGTTTGTTAAGCCCTGCTATAGCTCTATAGTAGCCACAATAGAACAAGGTTTGTTAAGCCCTGCTATAGCTCTATAGTAGCCACAATAGAACAAGGTTTGTTAAGCCCTGCTATAGCTCTATAGTAGCCACAATAGAACAAGGTTTGTTAAGCCCTGCTATAGCTCTATAGTAGCCACAATAGAACAAGGTTTGTTAAGCCCTGCTATAGCTCTATAGTAGCCACAATAGAACAAGGTTTGTTAAACCCTGCTATAGCTCTATAGTAGCCACAATAGAACAAGGTTTGTTAAACCCTGCTATAGCTCTATAGTAGCCACAATAGAACAAGGTTTGTTAAACCCTGCTTTAGCTGTATAGTAGCCACAATAGAACAAGGTTTGTTAAGCCCTGCTATAGCTCTATAGTAGCCACAATAGAACAAGGTTTGTTAAGCCCTGCTATAGCTCTATAGTAGCCACAATAGAACAAGGTTTGTTAAACCCTGCTATAGCTCTATAGTAGCCACAATAGAACAAGGTTTGTTAAGCCCTGCTATAGCTCTATAGTAGCCACAATAGAACAAGGTTTGTTAAACCCTGCTATAGCTCTATAGTAGCCACAATAGAACAAGGTTTGTTAAGCCCTGCTATAGCTCTATAGTAGCCACAATAGAACAAGGTTTGTTAAGCCCTGCTATAGCTCTATAGTAGCCACAATAGAACAAGGTTTGTTAAGCCCTGCTATAGCTCTATAGTAGCCACAATAGTACAAGGTTTGTTAAGCCCTGCTATAGCTCTATAGTAGCCACAATAGAACAAGGTTTGCTAAACCCTGCTATAGCTCTATAGTAGCCACAATAGAACAAGGTTTGTTAAGCCCTGCTATAGCTCTATAGTAGCCACAATAGAACAAGGTTTGTTAAACCCTGCTATAGCTCTATAGTAGCCACAAAAGAACAAGGTTTGTTAAACCCTGCTATAGCTGTATAGTAGCCACAATAGAACAAGGTTTGTTAAGCCCTACTATAGCACTATAGTATCCACAATATAACAAGGTTTGTTAAACCCTGCTATAGCTGTATAGTAGCCACAAAAGAACAAGGTTTGTTAAACCCTGCTATAGCTCTATAGTAGCCACAATAGAACAAGGTTTGTTAAACCCTGCTATAGCTCTGTAGTAGCCACAATAGAACAAGGTTTGTTAAGCCCTGCTATAGCTCTATAGTAGCCATAAAGAACAAGGTTTGTTAAACCCTGCTATAGCTCTGTAGTAGCCACAATAAAACAAGGTTTGTTAAGCCCTGCTATAGCTCTATAGTAGCCACAATAGAACAAGGTTTGTTAAACCCTGCTATAGCTGTATAGTAGCCACAAAAGAACAAGGTTTGTTAAACCCTGCTATAGCTCTGTAGTAGCCACAATAGAACAAGGTTTGTTAAACCCTGCTATAGCTCTATAGTAGCCACAATAGAACAAGGTTTGTTAAGCCCTGCTATAGCTCTGTAGTAGCCACAATAGAACAAGGTTTGTTAAGCCCTGCTATAGCTCTATAGTAGCCACAATAGAACAAGGTTTGTTAAACCCTGCTATAGCTGTATAGTAGCCACAATAGAACAAGGTTTGTTAAACCCTGCTATAGCTCTATAGTAGCCACAATAGTACAAGGTTTGTTAAGCCCTGCTATAGCTCTATAGTAGCCACAATAGAACAAGGTTTGTTAAGCCCTACTATAGCTCTATAGTAGCCACAATAGAACAAGGTTTGTTAAGCCCTGCTATAGCTCTATAGTAGCCACAATAGAACAAGGTTTGTTAAGCCCTGCTATAGCTCTATAGTAGCCACAATAGAACAAGGTTTGTTAAACCCTGCTATAGCTCTGTAGTAGCCACAATAGAACAAGGTTTGTTAAGCTCTATTTTAGGTCTATAGTAGCCAAAATAGAACAAGGTTTGTTAAACCCTGCTATAGGTCTATAGTAGCCACAATAGTACAAGGTTTGTTAAGCCCTGTTAAACCCTGCTATAGCTGTATAGTAGCCACAATAGAACAAGGTTTGTTAAGCCCTGCTATAGCTCTATAGTAGCCACAATAGTACAAGGTTTGTTAAACCCTGCTATAGCTCTGTAGTAGCCACAATAGAACAAGGTTTGTTAAGCTCTATTTTAGGTCTATAGTAGCCACAATAGAACAAGGTTTGTTAAGCCCTGCTATAGCTCTATAGTAGCCACAATAGTACAAGGTTTGTTAAACCCTGCTATAGCTCTGTAGTAGCCACAATAGTACAAGGTTTGTTAAGCCCTGCTATAGCTCTATAGTAGCCACAATAGAACAAGGTTTGTTAAGCCCTGCTATAGCTCTATAGTAGCCACAATAGAACAAGGTTTGTTAAACCCTGCTTTAGCTCTATAGTAGCCACAATAGAACAAGGTTTGTTAAGCCCTGCTATAGCTCTATAGTAGCCACAATAGTACAAGGTTTGTTAAGCCCTGCTATAGCTCTATAGTAGCCACAATAGAACAAGGTTTGTTAAACCCTGCTATAGCTCTATAGTAGCCACAATAGAACAAGGTTTGTTAAACCCTGCTATAGCTCTTAGTAGCCACAATAGAACAAGGTTTGTTAAGCCCTGCTATAGCTCTATAGTAGCCACAAAAGAACAAGGTTTGTTAAGCCCTGCTATAGCTCTGTAGTTGCCACAATAGAACAAGGTTTGTTAAGCCCTACTATAGCTCTATAGTAGCCACAATAGAACAAGGTTTGTTAAGCCCTGCTATAGCTCTATAGTAGCCACAAAAGAACAAGGTTTGTTAAGCCCTGCTATAGCTCTGTAGTTGCCACAATAGAACAAGGTTTGTTAAGCCCTACTATAGCTCTATAGTAGCCACAATAGAACAAGGTTTGTTAAACCCTGCTATAGCTCTATAGTAGCCACAATAGAACAAGGTTTGTTAAACCCTGCTATAGCTCTATAGTAGCCACAAAAGAACAAGGTTTGTTAAGCCCTGCTATAGCTCTGTAGTTGCCACAATAGAACAAGGTTTGTTAAGCCCTACTATAGCTCTATAGTAGCCACAATAGAACAAGGTTTGTTAAACCCTGCTATAGCTCTATAGTAGCCACAATAGAACAAGGTTTGTTAAGCCCTGCTATAGCTCTATAGTAGCCACAATAGAACAAGGTTTGTTAAGCCCTGCTATAGCTCTATAGTAGCCACAATAGAACAAGGTTTGTTAAGCCCTGCTATAGCTCTATAGTAGCCACAATAGTACAAGGTTTGTTAAGCCCTACTATAGCTCTATAATAAGGATAATCAATCTGATTTTTTTTATTAGATTTTTTGTAATCACCATTTGTATCATAATGTTGCATTTTAATAATTGCAGCCAGGTTGTAACAATTTTTCACAAATGTTCTGGATTTGCTACACTTTGGCATTACCAGTATCAATTTGTTAATATTATAGGTCAATGAAAACAAAGAACGAAATCCTGTGCTAATGTGAAAAAGTCAGTCCACCCCAGTGGGAATCAAATCCACTTGGTCGAGTGATCTACCACTGAGCTACAGCCTACAGGACCAACTGACTTTTCCACATCAATAGTATTGTCCTATCATATGATAAATAATCAAAATAAAGTTGATTCCATAATTTTAGGTGTCAATCCTAAGAGGTGCTAAACAGTCACTACAGAAATCACTGAATGGACAGAAATCTCTAAATGAACAACTGCAATCAGATCTGAATGTGGCAAACCAAAGGCTCCTTATTAATAGGAGAGAAATTCAGGTAAATATTCAAGTAACATTATTTAGAAATTATGAAAACTTAATCATATCCATAGTCGTATTATATATATGACTTTACATGTACATCCAGATGTTTGACATACAACGCATATGTTGTAATTATATACCAGTCAGAGGTAATATTTCTACTTCAATAAGGTATTTTATTGAATTTCAAATGCTCTACTTTGTTTTTGTATGTCAGAAATTAGGAGGAGACTTGGAGAAAGCAGCCATTGATAAGGATATGGTGCCACCTATTGAGAAGAATCAACACACCGAGTCAGACTGGAAGCATCTTCAGAACAGACTGCGGGTAATGCTTTTCAAACATACTGATCTCGATCACAATTTTTCAAGGTGCTATAATGGAGTTGAAGTCCTTATGGTTGTGCATCTTTGCACGCAAGTACCACATAAATATTGTCATCAAAATTCCAGATCTGACCAACTTGAAACTTTTTACGTTTTATTTAATTTATTATGGATATTATTTCCATTACGTTTATAGTAAATTATAACAAGGAATCACATTCAATCCCTATGCTGCTCTTGAACTGTATATAACCCAACTCCCCTCTCAGTGTAATTTCACAAGACTCCTCCCCAGGGAATAACATAAGTGACTGCCAAGTGGCAATCTCATAGTTAGATCTCCAATAAAGTTGCATATTATAAGGACACTCACTGAGAATACAGGCTTAACTAAATTCTCATTAATTATAAATATTTAAATTGTATATTTTAGGATTCAGCCAATGAAGTTAGCAAACAGTCAACTCTTATTAAGAGTCTGCGTGAAGAAAATGATGAACTACGGGAACAAATTAAACAATTAAATGAAAGGTACTGTATGTGTATAAGATCTTTGATACCTTATAATGCAATTTTAAGCCTCCAAATGTTGAGGGGGCGATATTTTTCACTATGTTTCTGACACTTGAAAGTTTGGAAAATACATTTGAAGAAAGGACGATTCTCGGTTTGGAGAACAGTCTCCTGTGCTAATAATTTTTTTCATGAAAAATATAGAAATATTACCCAAATTAAACTATGAATATTCAAAAGAGGACATTTAAATCTACAAGATGTAAAGATAACAAATTGGTCTGAAGCAGGGATAATGCTCAAATAGACCGATTCAATAATAATACAAGTCTCGATTCGGGGAAAGAAGTTCATCAGTGTACTGCGCTAATATTTTTTTGCGAAAAATCTAGAAATATTACCCAAATTAAATTATGACTATTCAAAAGAAGACATTCAAATCCTTATTATGTAAAAAAATCAAATTTGTCCGAAGCAGGGATAATGCTCATTTAGATTGATGAACTTCGTTCTCCAAACCGAGAATCGTCCTTTGTGATCAGCTAAATATTTCTTCTATTATTGCTTTTATAGTGTGATACATTTCCTCTATTGTTGTTATATAGGGTAAATCGTCTTGAGCGGGACAATGGTCAAAAGAGAATCCTACTGGAAGATGTGCGTCTGAAATTGAAAATATCTCAGGAAAATGCTAATACAGATACAAAGGCAATGGTGAGTGAAAGAACCAAAACACATTTACTTTGTCTTAAAATTTTTGGATGAAAACTATATTTGGATATTTCTTTTTCTAGTTCATCATGATTGTACAAGGGTATTTTCAATACTTGGGTGTGGTAGTTCGTTAATTATGCCACTACCTTAAAATATGCTTTATACATGTATATATTCTTGGGTGTATTTGAATGAGAATTGTAAACAGTCACTAGTGTCGCAAATGCAAGTTTTCAGTTAAAGGATTATGTTTCATCAAACAATAATAATGAGGTTTTGATTTAAAACAATTTGCTCTTAATATCATTGTCAGATGCTTTGTGGAAGAGATTAATCAAAATAATGTTTTATTTATGTTATAATTTCTACTGTGGGTTTGTTATATAAAATATTGGTAATATAAACTGCTAAGCATTAAGGGAAATGCAAACTGTCTTTAAGGCAGTGAAAATGTAAGTCTATCAAACATGAAAAATAAGAAACTAAAGGACCAAGGTGCAATATTATATGGAGAAATACTTTCATATGTTTAAGAGTTTTTAGTTTTAAGACTTGAATTATTCAGGACATACTAGTCTGCAAATGTCAATAAAAGAAATGTATGACGAAATAAATCATTAAAAATGCCAAAATGCTAAAATTAACAAATAAAATTAAAAATTGCATTTTCTACAACAGCAAAAACGTTTGCTCAGATATGAAGTATATTAAATAACTCTACTTAATTTACTTCAGAGTGTAATGGTTTATTTTCGACATTTTTTTCTCAATATGAAATATATTGCCTTGGTAGAGTATATGTGACATGCCAATGTAAATGTTACAGGCTGAGGTGGAAAACAGACTTCGTAGTGTCACAGAAACAAGTGATAGATTTAAGACACAATGCGACTCTCTCAGAAAGCGTCTCGGTGTAGCCACCAAGGAAAAACAAGAATATGAAGAGAACTATAGAAAAACCTCTGCACAATTGGATAAGAAGGTAACATTAAAAAAAACTTGAATGTTGGCAATCTTAAAGCGAGAGATGTCAAGAGTGGTATTAATTCTTCAAAGGTTGCTTGGTTTGAAAATAGCTTTTACCATTTTTCACATAAATATTATACTGAACTGCTAGATGGATGTGCATTGTGTCTGTTCTAATGCAATAAATAAATAAATATAAATAATGATTTTCATGTATATTCCAGACTAAGGCAATATCAGAGCTCCAAGCGAAGGTATCTGAACTACAATCTAGTCTACAGGAGGTGGAGCGCATGGCGGAGCGACAGCTGTATGGCTTAGCCAATCAGAGTGAAGAAGCAATCGAGACAGCTCAGAATAAACTTGTCAAAATGCACACCAATGTGCAGGAATACCAGTCGTTTTTAAAAGTAAATACATCTTTACATCGTTATTATGTCACCACCACAAGAGGTGAATTATTGTTATGGTCTCAAACTTTTTATCGCACTTTGAAAAAGTGCTATATTGCCGTCGTCTTGTGCTGTTGGGCGGGCGGGCGTGCGGGTGTGCGGGCGTGCGGGCGGGCGGGACATAAATCAAATCTTGTCATCAAATTTCCAGGATAACTGCTTACCTGTTCAACTTGAAATTTTTACAGATGCAAGAGCAGACCAGTACCAAGATCTGATTAGGTTAAGGGCATGCTGGGTAAACTACGTGGCGGCCATTTTGAATTTTTCAAGAAATCTTGTCATCAAAATTCCAGGAAAACCACTTATCCGTTCAACTTGAAATTTTTACAGATGCAAGAGCAGACTATTGCCAAGATCTGATTAGGTTTTGGGTATGCTGGCTGAATTACATGGTGGCCATTTTGAATTTTTCAATTTGGCGGCCATTTTGAATTTTTCAACTCGCTCCAAATTGACCAAATTTTTTTTTTAAAAACATCTACAAGTTCTCAGAAGTTCAAATCTGACCTTAGATTTCAGATTTGACCTTTCATTCACCTTCAGTGACCTTGAAAAGGTCAAAAAAGTTGATTTTCTAAATTGATATTTTGGATTTAAATTTAGGTCAGCTTAATTACAAAACACCTACTGAGGTCTGAAAAAGTTAAATTTTCAAGGTCGAAGGTCAAGGTCATTAAACTAGGTCACAAATGATGTTATCCAAGTTTCTCAAAGTTTGAGACTACAAATCAATTCTTGTCATCAAAATTCCAAGAAAACCGCTAACCTGTTCAACTTGAAATTTTTACACATGCAATAGCAGACTAGTGCCAAGATCTGATTAGGTTTAGGGCATGCTGGGTAAACTACGTGGTGGCCATTTTGAATTTTTCAACAAATCTTGTCATCAAATTTCCAGGAAAACCACTTATCCGTTCAACTTGAAATTTTTACAGATGCAAGAGCAGACTATTGCCAAGATCTGATTAGGTTTTGGGTATGCTGGCTGAATTACATGGTGGCCATTTTGAATATTTCAATTTGGCGGCCATTTTGAATTTTTCAACTTGCTCCAAATTTACCCAATTTTTTTTTTAAAACATCTACAAGTTCTCAGAAGTTCAAATCTGACCTTAGATTTCAGATTTGACCTTTCATTCACCTTCAGTGACCTTGAAAAGGTCAAAAAAGTTGATTTTCTAAATTGATATTTTGGATTTAAATTTAGGTCAGCTTAATTACAAAACACCTACTGAGGTCTGAAAAAGTTAAATTTTCAAGGTCGAAGGTCATCAAATTAGGTCACAAACGATGTTATCTAAATTTTCCCAAAGTTCCACACTACAAATAAATTCTTGTCATCAAAATTGCAGGAAAACTGCTAACCTTGTCAACTTGAAATGTTTACAGATGCAAGAGCAGACTAGTGCCAAGGTCTGATTAGGTTTTGGCCATGCTGGATAAATTGCATGGTGGCCAGTTTGCTCTTCAAAGTGCGATATTTATCACTGTGTGTCTTGTTTGTAGATGGTGTTCAGTGATTGGTGTTCAGTCATTGATGCTCAGTGGTTGGTGTTCAGCATTCGATGTCTGTAGCAAATGGCAGATGGTGACATTTTGCATGTTAATGCCTTGTTTTAAACTGTTTCAGCTTGATGAAAATTTTAATGGCATCCATTGAGTCGCATGGCATGTTACAGAACTTTTCAGGTGGCTCCATTCAGGAAGGCATTGTAATTCATCATCACATAGAGCTACCTTAAGGTTGTATCTTAGATTGAGTAAGATGAAGAAAAACTGATTCAACATCAACGGAAAATTATGATTTGGTTGTATAGTAGATTGATGGTCATAAAATATTTCAGTGTTCATTTTTTGATATTTTAGAATTTCTCCCATGATCTGCTTAGAAGTATACAGCAAACAAGAGCAGAGATATATCGCCAAAAACACAAACCATCCACTACTGCTGAGTCGTTACGTAAAGCCAAGCTTGTAGCTGGTAATATTCTCAACCTTAGCCAATCAGATGTCGAGGAGCTCATGATTGGAGAGGAGTTAAAATCTCAGGTGAGAAAGAAAAATTAGTTCCCCAAAATTCATAGCAGGCATTCATTTGACTTTACTTCTTAAAATGTAACTTTGTCTACATTCTTTAACTTAAGACAAACCTCTAACTCACTGATCGGTTGAGGAAATCTCAGGGTGGTTAGTTTGAATTGATTACCATCAGGGGTGTGATGGCCAGCAGCCATGGGGTTGGGGCTGTTGTATTCAGGTTAGCTAGAACTAAATTCTATGAATGCATACATATATCATTTTATATGACATATTACAGGACAATAGATATTTCTTTCACAGTTAACAAAATTGATATTTTAATATATTGTAATGATTATATTATATGACATCATTCTGTGTTACATTTTTGTTGATCAGGCCACTGAATTGGAGCAAGGAAAGAAAAGAGACCAAAAGTGGAGTAAAAAACTAGAGAAGATATTGACCAAGGTATTCATCTCAATTCAAGATATCTCGGTCAATATAGATGGCATCCTAAAGATTTAAAGCTGGATTCAGTAACATATAACTATGTGCTATGATATCAATATATACTTGATTCTTATCTTTTTTCATATCGAACACAATTTTGAATAAACGTTTTAATCATATCAATTTGATGCAACATGACAGTTACAACCTGTGTATGATATTAAGTTTATATGATTCCTCCTAAAACTATAGTTAAAGAACTGCTCTCATTATATCCGAATTCATATACTTGGATTCTAGGAAATGCCACTAAATATGAAAATATGAGAAGGTCAGCTATTTTAGTTTAGTTACAAAGTTTTTGATTCTTGTTTTCCAGAAAGAATTCGAAAGCGACTTGACTGAAATGATGAGTGAGAAGTTAGAAGAGAAATTGGACTTAATACACACTCTGTATGAGAACAGATGACACACTGAGCAGTTAACACATTGAACAGAGGACACATTGAACAGTTTACACTCTGAACATATGACACATTGAACAGTTGACACACTGACGGTTGACACATTGGACAGTTGACACATTGAATAGTTGAACTACTGAGCAGATGGCATTCTGAACAGTTGACACACTGAACAAATGACAAACTAAAAATATGACACACTGAACAAATGACAAACTAAAAATATGACACACTGAGCAAATGACACACTGTTAGCTAAGAGCTGGAATATTCACCGCACAATATAGCTTCATAATTACCATTAAGCAATGTAAAACTGTATGATGATTCATAACGTTGAATTGTTCTTCCGACCAACAGACAATCATTCATACATTTTAGTGCCAAATAACTTTTAAACTTATTTTATCCTGCAAATGCTCATTGTTGTTACCAATTTATTTTAGTTGTACATGTATGTTGTAATTGTTGTATGTTAGATTTTATTGTATGTTTTAGCCTGTATGATTAACATATGGTTTCAGCATGTTGTGTGATAATTATCATGACAATTATGTGATAATACAGATTAATTATCACACAAACATTTTTTTGTGATAATACATGAAACAAGAGCATATTTTAAGGTAAGCAGAGTGGGGTATCTTTGTGCCCCATCTGCCCCATCTAATTGTTGCTATATAGTCTAGGCCTACCAGTTATTTTATACATGTGTACATAATTAATATACATATATGTATATATTGGTCAGCAATTTTTGAAATATAAAAACTGACAAGCCATTTGATTGTAATATATAATGTATCATTGGTCGTATTATATTTGTACATAAGCTATATTAAATATGTCGCTATGTCAGACTTATTTAAATAAAAGTAAAATAAACATAAAAAAGTTATTTTATTTTATTACAATACAAACGAGTAAATGGTGTTTTCAAACTACTGCCTTTTATTGCACTTAAAAAATGTTAAGTAACGTTTGTATCACACAGTGAATTGTGTCAAGATATAAGAAAGAAACTGGTTTCCTTGGAATCTTAACAAAATAGACTAAATTCCAATATATGATTATGTTTTGGGGATGCTAATTAATTTACAAGGTGGCTTTTTTAATTCTGGGTGAAATGTTCATTAGAAATACAAACGATAATTTTTGATTCGGACACTATCCACCACCATGTTTCATTCTGGACATCGAAAGTAGAGGAAAAACAGATTTATTTATACTCTTTAGCTGTGAATAAATACTGGTTTCTGTCTACCCCCACCATCTTTAGAATTTACTCCCGAGAATAGTCAATGAAAAAATCATTGAGTAGCAGATACCATAATTTTCAACAACCATTGAAAATTGTTCCTACTCTCATGATCGATACACAATTTCGCCAAGAACTTTTTATTATTGAGTTTGAGTTCCCTAGGTGATAATTTGGTGTATACTAATAATTAATAGCATGTATGTAAGAACCATGAAAACAATTATGATTGATAAAATTATATTGATTGTCGTGTGTAGAGTTTCAAACCAGACCAAACAAAACACTTATTATAAGCTAGTAGGGCGTGGAATAAGTGGTTAGTGCATTTCATTGTATCTGTATACAGATTACAGGTTTTGGATTCCCGTTGAAAATGTTATAAAGACCCGTTTCATAGCAACCAACTAATGGGTTATAGTTGAAAAAACAGACTGTCAGATGTTTATCATTTATCTGTTATAAATTAAAGGCAGAATTACAATTTGCATTTGGTTGACTTGACGCCTTACGAACTTTAGAACGAACCTATTGGCGAAGGGTATAAGAATCAGATGTAGCGAATAACATTTCCAAAAAGTGTTGCGTTTTGAAAATAGTTGTAGCTTATATCACTTATACAAGCATTTTTTCAAGGTAATACTTTATACATAAATATTTAACATTCATATGCTCTTTTATGTGTCAATTTACAGTATATACTAGTAAATTAATTTGAATTTATTCCAGGTCTTTCAATCTCACGGTATGATTATATCCATGGCCTGGCTTACCAGTCATGACATTTCCCTTAGATCAGGCTTAGTATTTGGATAAATCCCTAAAAATATGACGGCAAATATGACCAGCAATGAGAGGCAAATCCAAAATAGAAGGCGATCTATTCCTCTTGCAACTGCTCGCCATTTTTCCAGTTTAAGCTTCATGTCATCGTGTTTTTCTTGCCTTTTTACCACCTTTTCGATTAACTCTCCAACTTTATTTGATAGGAATGTATTTTGTCCATTTTGATGTTTATTATTGGTTGAGGTCATAATTACAGAGTCTTGTATATTGTTACAGTTTTGCTCATCTTCCTTACTGTTATAGTAGACTTCACTTGTATCTTGGTGTAATATCTGACTCTTATGTACCGTGCTGACAAGCTTGATCAGCCATTTTGGGGGGTGTAATTCAGGATGGCCGTAGAAATGAATGTGTAACACCATAACAGTGAACCCTACTGACATTGTAGTTATGCTCATCAGTGTCACGAGGAACACCACTGGAATATCAACATACAATATAATTCCAAGCTACAATAATATAACAACATACAATAGGCCTTATATGAGATTTCATAAACATCATTTATAAAATGAAGAAATCCAAGTAGTCGGTAAATGTTTGGTTTGGGAACTTTCTATGTTCCATTGGTGGTTGGGAACTTGTGAAATCCGGTGGTTAATGGTTGAGAACTTAGTGTAATTTGATGATGAGTGAATGGAACCCTGTGTGCTTTTTGTTAAGAACCTAGTTTAATTTTGGTGGTGAGTTTTCGAGAAGTTTGGGCGTGAGTGTTTGGGAACCTTGAATGTTTTTATGGTTTAGAAACCCATGTTTAGAAACCGACTTATTTGCATAAGTTTAAATTATTTGCTCGATGTTATTTTTTCTTTGCGTCTGTGACTTCTGACCGATATGTAGCGGGATCAGATGTCCAGATATAACCCCTTTTTTGTTCGGCTTTTTCAGGAAAGCAACAAACTTGGCACATTTGTAGAAACATATGATTTGAGTGGAAAATGATTTCAGGGCAAGGGGTTGGGGGTGGTCTTCATGGATTTTTTTACCTCTGACCCCCACCCCTATCAGGTGGGGAGGGGTAAATTATAAAAAATAAATAAAAATGGTTTTAAAGTATTTTTGTTTAAATGACTTCATTTGGTGATTGCTTTGAGCCTTGAAATGATGTAAAACACATTTTAGAAGTGGTATTTAGTGAGGAAAATACATTTAAACCCAATTATCCAGGAAAAATTCATTATTTAAAGGGCCAAATATGGGACGTCGATTACTGTATTTCAAGAATGTGATGACTAATAGCCTTAAAAAAATTCACAGTAATAGAAGTATAAGTGGTGTTTATTGCAGATAGAAAATATTGCTTTGATAGCTGATGTATTGTCAGAGAAAAAAAAAATCAAAATTTCAATTTTTTGGTGCATTTGGCTCAGGGGTAACCTTATCTTACCTCAATAATTTTTAAGATAGTCAATGTATGCATCTCATATGAGGTCAGAATGGTGCTTCTAGTCTTGTTTTGTCATATTATTGCTAATTAGATGTACAAAAAAGATTGGAATCAAAAAAAAATTCAAATTTTCATTTTCGATTCTGAATGGCCAGGGGTAACCATATTGTACCTTAATAATTTTCAAAATATGTTATATATCCATCTCAAATGAGCTCAAAATGGTGCATCTAGTCTTGTTTTGTCATAATATTGCTAATTAGAAGTAAAAAAAGATTGGAATTTTTTTTTTAATCTAATTTTCATTTTCGCTTCTGAAGGGCCAGGGGTAACCATATTGTACCTTAATAATTTTTAAAATATGTAATATATCCATCTCAAATGAGCTCAATATGGTGCATCTAGTCTTTTTTAATCATATTAACCCTAATAAGATGTAGAAAAATGATTGATAATTCTTAAAACTCTAAATTTTCATTTAAGCTTCAGATGGTCCAGGGGTAACCATATTTTAGCATAATAATTTTCAAGATATGTAATATATGCATCTCAAATGAGCTCAAAATGGTGCATATAGTCTTGTTTTATCATACCCCAAATAAGATGTAGAAAAATTATTGGACATTTTTTAAAAATCTGAATTTTCTATTTGACCATATTTTTAACATAATAATTACATATTATCACATATGCATCTAAAATGAGCTCAAAGTGGTTCATATACCAGAAGTCTTGTTATCATATTTCCCCTAATAATATATAAAAACATAATTTGACATTTCTAAATATCTAATATCTAAAAATCTAAATTTTATATTTGAGCTTTTGACAGCTACAGTTACAGGGGTAACCATACTTATAATTTTCAATGTATGTTACATATATGCATCTCAAATGAGCTTGAAATGGTGTATATAATCTTGTTTTGTCATATCATTTCTAAGGAGATGGAAAAAATGATCAGATTTTGATTTAGCTTTTGACTGGTTATAGGTGGCCTCATTTTACCATAATAATTTTCAAGATATGTCACATTTGCAACTTAAATAAGCTCAAAATGGCATTTTGTCATATTCATATGTTCATATATTCATACTGAGATATAAAATGATAAATCAATGAAGTATTATATAAAGATATTAGGTTTAAGAACACTTGCATCACCTCTGGGTACACCTTCCATTCCTCCAAATCAGATGATTTAGAGTAGTAGTTAAATGCAGATGTGACATCGCACAGAATGATTGAATGAAAAATGGGGAGGACTAAACTTTGGTCATGGCCAATTGATCTTGCAATAATGCAATATCATGCACAGATAGTTATTGAATGGATTTTCTTTTACCAAATGCAATCCAAGATGTAGTGGGAACAAGAGGGAGCTGTCCTCCTTCCAGGCATCAACACTGAAACCCTCAAGAACATGGCAAGATGATAGTGACCAAGTAATGCAATGTCTTAGGCGCCATCAAGGATATTTCTCCATACGAGAGACTGCTTCAATCATTGCCTAACAATTGATTTTGATGTAGTAAAACTGAAAATGTCAATTTGGATTGCATATGGTAAGGGGAAATCCTTCCAATATCTACCTGCCCACAATATTACAAGACCACTTGGCCATGACCAAAGTTTAGCCCTCCCAATTTTTCATGCAATCAATGAATTTGATATGTCACCTTTGCATTCTACTACTTCTCTAAATCATCTGATTTGAAGGAATGGAAGGTGTATACCCAGAGCTATTGCAGTTGTTTTTAAACTTTGAATCTTTTTTTAGAAACATTGCAGTTGTAGAGTCATTTGTTATTCTGATGCATTCTAACCCACAGTTTCTATCACCACATGAATGTGGTTGGACTACTCCCACTGCTGATACTGAGGCCACAACATATGAAAATGTAGGTCCTATGAGGCGGATATCTGTATAATAACAAAAGATGTTGCATCCGAGGCATGCAAAAAACTTGTTTGATGTTTAAGGAGTGTTGAGGGAACATATGCAAATGTTTGAAATCATATCTCATTTGCTCTGGGCTATGTAGCCGTAGGGGAGACTGTCAGAATCTATAAATCCTGACCTGTTTGATTATGTTTTATGGATTTGGATTATATTTTCAAATGATTATACATAGAATCTTAACAATGCTACTACTCAGTACAAACTGGACTGTCAAACATTTTCAAATCTTAGAAAAGTGCTCGATAAATATATAGTACAGTATTGAGCTAGTGGTACTAAAAAGGAATAAATGGATGTTGTGATTCTTTATCACAGGCTGGTATCGAAAGATTTGTCCGCTGTGACGGAGCATGCTATTTTTCATAAAAATACTAAGAATGCTTCACGATTTATTTTTTAACTCATATGTTTCGTTATATCAAAGATAATTACTTACTCCATGCAATAGATATATCATTTGCGTGTAACCTTCACTTCTGTTTGAAGTCCAAAACACAGGCTCAACAGCCTGTGTTTATATAAATAAATAAATGGATGTTGAGATTTTTTATAATTTTTTCTTATTTCAGAAGGAATAAATGGCAAAACTTGACTATAATCAACATTTTGAGCTAGTTTGAGTAACAAGTGTGATATATCTTTATTTAAATTATTACGGTAAAATGGCATCAAAAGCTAAGGCCATAAGAATTAGATTCTTTGTTTTGCTTCCCCTTGCTTGCATGATTTTGACTAAATCAGAAAAAACAAACACATCCAAATAGCAACCACAAGGGTCTGAAAGTAACATCGCATTTCATTCAATCAGAATCAGACGAAATGGTGGATAAATTGATGTGCGTCAAAATTGACAGTGTTATTTATTACTTAGGCATACATTTTTTTATTTTTACCCATGAATAATACCTATATTTAAATATATTGTATAAACGTATATATCTGTGTTTGTATCACTGCAAATTGGTATGTCATTCCTTTTAATGCCCATAAAATGTATACATTTCTCAGCAAACAAGTTTGTGTTTTTTTTTAGTTTGTGTTTGTTTCCTTGTACCCTTGCATGATTTGGATTTTGCCAGGACGCAAACCAGAGAATCTAATTCTTATGGCCTAATATGAAAATATCATTTTTTCAAGTTTCCAAACATTTTTTACATTCCCTAGAAATAATATATGACAAAAGAAGATTAAAAAACCCTTTAAAGCTCATTTGAGATGCATATGTCTTGAAAATTATTAAGGTAAAATATGGCTACCCATAGGTCACAATAAGCTAAAATGAAAATTTAGATTTTTAAGAAATGTAAAATCATTTTTCTACATCTAATCAAGGGTAATCTGATAAAATAAAGCTATATGCACCATTTTGAGCTAATTTGAGATGCATATATTACATATCTTGAAAATTATTAAGGTAAAATATGGTTACCCCTGGCCTTTTAGAAGCGAAAATGAAAATTTGGATTTTTGAAAAATTTCCAATAATTTGTTTACATCTTATTAGGAATAATATGACAAAACAATGCTCTATGCATCATTTTGACCTCATATGAGATGCATACATTGTATATTTAAAATTATTAAGGTAAAATAAGGATACCCCTGAGCTGCATGCACTTAAAAATTGAAATTTCGAGAATTTTTTTCTCAAAAAATACATGAGCCACCCGTGATATATTTTCTATCTGTGATAAACACTTAAACCTCTACTACTATGAATTTTTTCAGGACTATCAGACAGCACATTCTTGAAATACAGTACTGGATGTTCCGTATTTGGCCCTTTAAACAACGAATTATTCTTAGATAATTGGGTTAAAATGAGTTTTTCTTGCTACAGACAACTTCTTAATTGGGTTTTACACAATTTCAAGGCTCAAAGCAATCACCAAATGAAGTCATTTAAAGAAAAATACTTTAAAACCATTTTTATTTAATTTTGATAATATACCCCTCCCAGTCTGGTAGGGGTGGTGGGTCAGAGGCTAAAAAATCCATGAAGACCACCCCAAATCACTTGCCCTGAAATCATTTTTTACTCATATCATATGATTCTACAAGTGTGCCAAGTTTGTTGCTTTCCTGAAAAAGGCGAACAAAAAAGGACATCTGACCCCGCTAATGACCTACATATTCATACCTATTAAGGGTGTAGCGGTAGACGTCTTTGGAATGTTGTCGACTATTAGCAGAAGAAACACGGAGAATGACAGCAAAATAGTGAGGCCCATCGACATTTTTTCACCTGTAAAAAAGATATAAGTATTTTTACCCCTTAATAAAGAAATATCCATTCTTAACATCACATGCGCAAGATGAAATAGAAGCAACTTGTATTCAAACAACAAGTTTTTACTTATATAGTTATGGGATTCGATTAGTGACCATTTTGGTATCGTAATCTTGCCCTCATTTTCGCAGTATCATCTATTCTTGATTCGCTTTCAAAACTTTTCTTTATCTCAATCAAGAATTATCAAAGCTTGTTTACGAGATAAAAAAGAATTATTTATAATGAATCAAGAATGGTACATGTAGCTCTTACAGAGACAATCATACAAGACTCGCAAGAACCTATATTTGATATGTTCAACAACGTAATCAATATAACCGATACAACTTTCCAGTACAATACCAAATTACAAGACCCAATTATGCAATTATGAATAATCGTCGATATGGTAATTGTCGAGTGAAACACATTGATATTTTGTATATCTACGTGGAGGGCCCCAACCCATCCTTCAAGATAGGGCGTCGCTGGAAAGAAGTGGCATACCCTTTGACTATTTTATTATTTTAGCATAACACACACAACTCACATTTAATGATACAACTTTACATGAGTTATTATATGCAAGTTAGTTAATAAGTGGATTTATAAATAAAAGGTGCAAATACATGGACATCTTTCCACCTTTATTAAAGATTGACGCAAAATTCTCCAAAAATTCCCATTAATACCAGCGTCACATATTTGAGCAAATAGTCCATCAATCTATACCGTGTCTATAAAAAGTACTTATATATATCAGTTGCATATAAAAAGAGCAAATAACAATTAGGCTAACTAGTAAAAAATAGAAACTCCTGTTAAAGTAGTATTGGTTAACATAAAAACAACATATTTACATAAGGTGTAAAAAGAAAAAACATATTAGATACAGAGTTACATGATGTGCCAGAAAAAAAAGAGAATAAAAACACTACACAAGGTTATATACATGTATATCATGTTAAATAGCATTTTTATATACTTTTGTGTAAAGAGATTAAGTATTTTTTATTACATAGTCAAGGTCATTCCACAAATGGTCCATATTTTCTGACAGAAAAACTACCGGCCTTGTCAACATGATAGTTACCTTTTTGCCGGGTATCATGACTATGCTAGTTTCATTTTTTGATATTTTTATATTTCAGATTCAATATTTTGGGGGCATCATTTGAGACTTTGTACATGAATATTCCTATGTTAAGTTTATTAAGGTCATATACATTTAAAATCCCAAGTTCCTTAAATAAGGGTGTAGAGTGTTCAACATGTTCCTTGCCAAACACAAAGCGGACAAAGGGATTTTGTAATGTATGAATCTTTGAGAGATTGCTTTTGTAGTTATTTCCCCAAATAAGATTACAGTAGTTCATGTGTGAATGAATAAGAGCGTAGTAAATTGTCATTAGTGATTTCTTAGTTGTGGACCCTGTGTATAATACCAATACATTGAGAAACCTTAGTTTCAATATTTTAATGTGAGTCTAAAAGATAGTTTGTTGTCCATAGTTACACCGAGGAATGATACATTACTGACAAGTTGAATGGGGTTTTGCCGATTTTTTATTGTAAGGTTAGTTTCTTTGTTATGTCCAAAGAGGATCGATTTGGTTTTATCAAAGTTTATTCGCCATTATCCAGTCATCAATATTGTTTAATTCATTATTGGAGAGAAAAGACTAAAGATGCCCCGACCTTTGATTTAAGATATGCATATAATTGGTTATTGTAGTACCTGGATATGTAAGTGTGTTTAATAACAATCGTGGGTGACTCAGTTGCAGAAGTTGCATGTTTAACAAAAAATACACCTCCATATACACTGGCGGATCTGGGGGGGGGGGCAGGGGCCCGGGCCCCCCCCTTGGGTGGGCCCAGAAAAAAAAAATTGTGCCCAAAAAAAATTTTGAGCCAAAAAAGGCCTTAAGGCCCCAAAAAGTAGGCCTTTTTGATCATAAATTGGCCTTGTAAGGCCTTGTTTTTTAATTTTAGGCCAAATTTTGAAGAAAATGGGCCTCAAAATTTCAAAATTTGGGCCCACTTTTGGGTTTTTGGGGCCCAACATTTTTTGCCGCGCAAGCGCGGACGTTTTTTCTCAGACCAGAAGTTTGGGCCCCCCCCCCTTGTTGGTTCCCAGATCCGCCCCTGATATAGTATATAGCTCAAAGGCTTTGATCAAAATTATTTAAAACATCCATTAATATGTTTGAACAGCAAAGTGATTTCTGTAATTACCAGACAGTTTTCTACTCTTTAAACTGGAAAAATAGAACTGTCATGATTCGTTTTGAGCATACTAGGTGAATAAGACAACCATTTTGGCCCCGAAATACAGGGTGTCAAATAAGTCCCGTCCCCCCTGCTACAGCTAAAGCCTTAACAGACAGTACCTAGTGTGATATACCATTGGAAAGATCATCCAAAGTTATGTTAACTCACCAACTCTCAAGTATTTTGGATGAAATTTACCTATATTTTTATGATGTCTTTTATAGTTTACGTGCCCTCCTTTAAGTAGCTTTTTTGCGTCAAAATGACAAGGATATGACCTCAGAAATACGTCAAAAAGTTGATCTTTTTCGCATTCCACTTGTTACAAAATGGTTTTCAGCACTTTCCTTGCCCCTCTATTTTCTACACATCTAACCCTATCCAGAAATTGGTTAAATTCATTGCCATAAACATATTTAGTCATCTTTTGGTCCCTTGACCTTTCTTATACCCGATTCTTAAAAATCCTGCCAAATATGCCAAATTGCCATGTTTCTAGGCATATGGTCACCTCAATTGATACAATGTAAAAATGTGTGAGATTGATTGACATGCGTCAGATATATGCCAATCAACGTAACTTTGGAAGACCTTTCCAATGATATATCACACTTGGTACCAAATATCTTGGTTTTGGCTGTAGAGGGGGGGACGGGACTTATTTGACACCCTGTATTGTCTGCAAGGTCTCGTCTACTCGTTTTCAGGCGAACCATTTGAAGGACTGTGTTTCAGGAATGTTCAATCAGTTTTGACCTAAGATGTGAGGAAAGTAGGTTTTGGAATATTCTTGATGGGAAATCCAGATTGGGGACATTTTTATATTTTCCGTGAAGTTTGTATGGGCCGTTTGTATGTACATGATAGTCAAAATATTTACATATTCAAAAAAGCTTTTATCAACTGGAATAACTCAATGATTAGTTCTTTAAAGGTCTACATAGTCATGGTATAGTCAAGTATCTGTGTTTATTGTTTATAGTTAGTTTATTTAACTATTTATCGGGAATGTACCAGAACAAACATATTGTTCATGAATTGTTCATGAGTTTTACCTGAATCAGCCGGCAGCCAGAACACAAGTAAAGTCAGACAGGCTATTAGCATTACCGGTAGCACTACATTGATCATATAAAACAATGGCTTCCTCCGTAGTACAATGGTATAGTGAACCTCTGGATATGGTAGGTCAGGATGAGCCGCGTAGAAATATTCAATTCGTTTGCCATTTGTCTGAAAACATTGAGAATATTTATCTGGGGGATTGATCAACTTCACAAATATTTTCTCGGATGGCACCATTTTTGTCGTAGTACAGACGGACGGACGGATGGCAGACGGAGGCGTTCCCTATATCCGTCGGAACTTCCTTCGATGGGATAATTACAACAAAGAAAAACAAGAAAACTAACAAGGAAAACTTTGAATTACAATTATCTTACCTCTCAAAGTAATAGCAAATACAAAATATTCTAAAAACGTAAATAATTAATATAGGTACCAAGAAATGACATTGATTATAAGGATACATTTTAACCTCATTCTCACTACTTTTCGACACAAGTTATAAATCACTTTTCATGTCTTATGGTACCACATATTTAAATATAGGACCATGGAAAGTTAGGAAGGGAAAGGGCATCTGACCCCACCTCTATCCCATTATTCCTTGCCCATTTGTGTTATGAAAAATACGTTTGCCTTAGGGTTGATGTGTTACTATCATTTACGTTAATTTATCTTACATATATTGGGAAAATTAGGTTTAATGCGTTCATTGCGTGAAGGTGATCATTACCAAAATGAGGAGCCAGATATCAAAATTACAAAATCACTAAGGTGGACTGACATTTTCACATCAGTCCTTATATTAGCGCAGATCTCGTTCTATGTGTTTTCATAATATGAACGTGAAAATAACGACTAAGTTATTGAAGCTATGTTGCATGCTTTTGCCCAACTCCGACCTGTTTCCTAATCTAGTAACAAGTACTAAATATTTATTTAGAGCGATTCGAGATAAATAGTATTGTGATTGAGGAAGATAATGTTTTAACAGGTAAGGTGGGTATAGGTAACGCGGCGCAGTCAAGCATATCTGTTCAAAACGAGGCTGCAACGCGGTAAAGACACAAAATGGAGGCAACTCCAATTATCGGAGGCACTTCGTCCTCTGTTTCCTCGAAACATAGGTAAGTTTTTGAAAACTCATGCTTCACACTCGGTGATCAACCCCTTAAGGTATGTAAAGCTATAAGAATTTCTGTTCAGACATTGACCAGAGTAAAGAAATAGTCAACGCAGATATGATTTCCCAAACCTATTTCTCTTGACCTATCTTCTTATTCCAATTAAGGAGGTATTTCGCCACTCATGAGCAAAGGACGATTCTCGGTTTGGAGAACGAAGTTCATCAATCTAAATGAGCATTATCCCTGCTTCGGATAAATTTGATTTTTTACATAATATAGATTTGATTATCTACTTTTGAACAGTTATAATTTAATTTGGGTAATATTTCTAGATTTTTCGCGAAAAAATATTAGCACAGTACACTGATGAACTTTTTTCCCCAAATCGAGACTTGTATTTTATTGAATCGGTCAAATTGAACGTTATCCCTGCTTCAGACCAATTTGTAAATTTTACATCTTGTAGATTTAAATGTCCTCTTTTGAATATTTATAGTTTAATTTGGGTAATATTTCTATATTTTTCATTTAAAAATTATTAGCCCAGGAGACTGTTCTCCAAACCGAGAATCGTCCTTTAACATTGACATTCAATAGCCTGATACTTATAGAATGTACAATACAAATTAAGATTGAAACTTTTGTTTATTTTCATCGCAATCTGCTTACAAAATTGAACTAGCCGGAAACGCGGCGCAGTCATTTTCAGCAATTATGGCAACGCGTCGACAGCATAGATTAAATTGTATGGCAACGCGGTGCAGGCATCAACTTTCTCTGTATTGTAAAGTACAAAGAGGTTTTGCATTATGCTTTTCTGTCGAGGATTTTGATTTAATAAGGCATGTGACTTTTTTTCAGAAAAAGATCAAGCAATACCAATCTATCCCTATACAGAACGAAGAGACGAAGAATAGGGAGCAATTCTACAATAAACATAAATGTCGAGGGGAATAAACGGAAATTCATATCACCAGATACATTACATCCCATCTGGTGCATAATTATCTTGGTGTTTTTATCCGGAAAAAGCAGATAGAGAATGCTTTGATAATGTTATTATCGTACACGATAGAACATCACCTGCATTGCTGTCACTGCGTTTCCAGTTTTGTCAAATTATTATGTATGATGTCTGAACCCGCGTTGCCGAAGTGTCTGAACTGCGTTTCCAAAATATACCTGGTTTTCCACCCAGAATCGGTTAACAGAAGGCAAACAGTGATGAAACTTTGAAGAAATAGAGATTACCGTGGTATATACGTGATTTAATAGATATGTGTCAAGTGACAAAGTCAAAAACATAGTGTATGACACTGTGGCTAGTCGATCAATGTGGATGCAGTCATGTATATGCAATGTTTCGTGGGTTCTCGCGTACATTATAGGGAATGGGGTCGTTGAAAAAATATGACAGAAAATCGAGGTAAGTGATCTCAGAGTTTCTACTTAACATATTGACTTGAAATCTTGCATACATATTCAATATACATAGTATGACAATGTGTGAAAGTTTCAGCTAGCATATTCCTGTTATAGGGAAGATATTTGAACAACATTTCGTAAACGTCAACATATATGTATCAAATGGATTCAACTATGTATCATTTGGATTCAGAACGGTAACAAATGGATGCTATAATAAATTATGCTTTTATCATGATGATTTATTTACAGATGGACAACTGGCCAGATTTTCTTTGTATCCATTGTTTGGATAAACATTCCTTATTCAGTGAAGTAATTAGCCACATCATTACAATACACCCTCATGAAGAATTGAAAATTGATAGACTTTATATAGACCCGTCAACTGGAAAATGCCATTACAGAAGAAAAAATTATGGTTTCATCCCTTATACTGTGAATTTGAAAAACGGGTCCATAACATGTAATGATGACAATGAAGATGTTGAAATTAGGTACGCCAATCAATGAAGTATGATATACACGGATGAGTAAATATAGATTATTTGAACAAAAGTGCAGAATTCTTCCATTAGATGGTTCAAAAGTGTTGCTTTGCTACAGAACGTTTTTGTACAGGCATCACATTTTAACCTTTCTCCCCTGGTATGGATGCGCTCATGTCTAGTGAGCCTTGAATTGGATGCTAGCACCTTCTCACATCCCTGTAAAATAACAATATCTGCTCCTGAGTTTTGAAGTATCAATCAAATAAAACATTTAACTCAAATCTGCACTTTTTTCCCAGGCCATGTTGTTCTTTACCATGCGTTTTTAGTGCGCTTTTGCTATTGAAAAGGTTGCCGCATTCATCGCACATGTGGCGTGTTGGGGCAGTTTCCTCCACTGGCTGTACGACAACCAGATCCATCTGCAAAATAGTTGTGATATATATGGAAAATAAAATCAAGATGTCCATCATCTTGAGTAAACATCAGATTATCGTCGGGCATCAAATATTCACCATATACTACTGTAAAATTATATTTTTGTTGAATTATTGTCCCAACTCAAGTTTATATGTAACCATAGTTGTTTCTTCCTGATGTATCCAATGAGAGCGTTTAAGAAATATATGTAAAATATTAAAAATACACACATTCAAAATGATTCAATTAAAACCTAGCCAGTCTGTTCATTGAATCCAATTAGAACGTCTACTAATCCACATGATACATCATAATTATTTCATACCATAACCCCAAAAATATTATAAAATGCGTTGTATTTGTATTTTACATCACACAGACATATTTGTGTACGTGAAATAATTATATTACTTGAATTTTTTATTCCCCATTATAAGGTAAACATATGGCAATTATACATACCTTCTCACAGCTATGAGCGAGGTGATAAAACTGGTCGAGTGAACTCGTTTGAGTTATCTATTCGCTGTAAAATTATCAGAGAATGTGTGTTTATAGCGTTGCTTTGGTTTGGTGAATCAATGAAGTATGATATACACGGATGAGTAAATATAGATTATTTAACAAAAGTGCAGAATTCTTCCATTGAAAAGTACAGAGGCGGGTACTCACGAAACATTACATGTGCTTGACTGCATCCACATAGATCGACTAGCCACAGTGTATGAAGCTTATGAATAAACTTACCGCCCTTTCGACCTTCCACTGAGTGGCCATTTTGTGTCTTTGCCGCGTTGCAGCCTCGTTTTGAACAGATATGCTTGACTGCGCCGCGTTACCTCTGACCACGGTGTTTTCATGAATTGTAACTGTCTATAAGCCATTTATGGGAAAACAAACATACGAAATTGCTTTAGATCACCAGGGAAACGCACAATCAAGTTAATTGAGAAAACACCCTTCACATAATGTCAAAGGTGTATACCTAATCAATGTTATATTCCCACTTTTCCAGGGATAATGGGTTTCATTAAATAGCACTAACTTGATTAAAACATCCTGTTGAATTATTAACAATTCTTGAAAATGTCGTCGGATTGATTCTGTCAAGAGAATCATCATACCCTCCTTCCCGAGGTCCGAGAAGACAGTACACATAATGGTTATGTACTGGGAGGCTTTGTATACAAGGTTTATCCCAATGGAAATATGAGAATACACATTTTCCAGATAACATAACAGATGTATCCCATACCCTCTGTTGAGGGTTTAGGTACACTGGTACATTACACCCTATAAAATTCCAAACATACTTCAAGGTACGCATTTTCTCTTAAAAAGTAGTTTTTAAGTTTGTGAAATTTTCATACTCATATTTTGCTGGAGCAGACCAATGAATTGATATTAAAAAGTTAAAATATAAAGCATAAGTTTGGAATATAGTTTTTATTTCGTGAATTGAGTAAAACATAAATTGAGTTCGCTTTTCGGGAGCTGGACCGGGATGGATACAGCATGTATACCAATATATACACTCCCCTCTATAAGTTTGGCGACCTTAGCTCCCCCATTAAACTACGTGTTAAAGCCCTTTTACATTTGAATTTTTATTTACTTAACCTACGATGAAAATACTTATACTATTCATGGAAACGCAATTTGACTTTATTTCCAACCTCCAAATTTTCTCAATTTTTTCTCAGTTACAATAAGTCGAAAATTGATGATTTTGATTAATTTCTAAAAATCGACACTCCCCTGTTAACCAATGGGAAATGGTAAGTTTGCCGCAAGTCATATGACAGAATATCCATCCATCCGAGTCCTTGCAAAAATACGAGTTAGGCAGGCAATTGGATTTGCTAACTTTATTTAACAAAAAATTGACATGTTTCTTCAGGTTCAACAAAGTTATAGAGCTTTCAAGTCAAAATTGTTTTTCAAAAAACCTCTCCCATTGAAATAACACAGGAGGCGAAAAATTATTTTCAAAAATGACTTTGAAGCGCTGTAACTTTAGTATTTATCAAATAAACTAAAAACTTAGTGTACAAAAAAAGTTAGACAATTCAATTTTCTGTATAAAGTATTTTTTGCTGAATCTTTTACTGAAAAGATATCCTGATATCTGATTTGCCCCGAATCCTCCATTTCCCATTGGATTACATGGGAATGACGATTTTCAAAAATTCATCAAAATCATCAATTTTCGACCTATTATAATTGAGGAAAAAATTGAGAAAATTTGGAGGTATTGGAAATTAAGTCAAGTTACGTTTCCATTAATATTATAAGTTATTTCATCGCCGGTTAAGTAAATAGAAATTCAAACGTAATGAGGCTTAAAGAAGTAGTTCAATGGGGGAGCTTAGGTTGCCAAACTTATGGAGGGGAGTGTACCTCATATCCAAAACCTCCAATAACATAATCCTAATGTACTTAGAATAAGATAACTTGAACCAATGTTTCTTGTGTTATACACCATCAATCGTTCATTTTCAGTCTTATTTATGTCAAATATTCATAAGCAAGTGTAGTTAGAAGAAACTTTCAAGTGAGGTTTTATATAACATTATTTTAGGCATAGAGTTCCCTATGGAAAATTGAGATAATGTCTTGATTATTTCATGTAGGAATATCTCAATTATGTACCAAAGAAGATTTTTGGGCTGATTTATCAATGTATCAATTATCAATTATTTCTGGTATTACCCTACCTCAATGATTTCCCACTCTCCACTCTCAAGAAACACCTCCAGGTTCACATGCGGCTCCATGCACGTCAAGTTAACATCGTTACCCGTGTAAACCCAATTTGCAAAAATAAATTTGCAAATCTGATCATCAAAGGGGTAAAATTTGATGTTCACTGGACAAACTGTTGAAAAGTCTCCCCCTAAAAGTGAAGAAATATATATTATATATTCCCAGGGAGAAATCAATTGTATTGAACTTTTGGGACTTCAAATCATAATTCACAGTCAATTGCTCTAGGCAAACATCCTTAGAATGCTACAGTGGTGGCGGTCTCAATTTCTTCTCTTGAAAACTCGATATAATTGTTAGCGAAATAAATGGTTAATTCAAGAATCAAAAAATGAAGAAATGAGCTGAGGATATGACAGCAATTTAAGTCCCAAGGTATTATAGTCCACATTGTATACTGGCCCGATTACAGTAGTTTAAACACATATAAATCAATGGAGGGGACAATATTACACGGGACATCTAACTTTTATATCAAACTAACAGGGCTTCAAATCTCATCCGCAGATGGTATTCCTCCAATTGAAGGGATAGAGAGTCCCTTGTGTAGTAGTCTATATGATGGATCTATAGTCAAATAAAACCGAATTACCTATATCTATATTTGCAGCACCATCACTAAGGTATCTCACTTGAAACAGTTCGAAATATTCTCTTTTGAAAATATCGCCCGGGCTGGAAAAACAAAATAATGCAAAAATGGATTCACAAAATACTCCAAGATAAAATTGGGCCATGGGTTATTACAATGCGTTACATGTATATCTTTGGATATAAACAATCCTTTTTGCATTATTTTCACAGGGCTAATCACGGCAACTTAGAACTCAGTGAGGACAAAACGGAAAAACTGGTCAAAGCCGGGGAAGGTCCGATTGACGATTTGCTTTGGGTTGGCCCATAGAAAGAGAACCGACGACCCAAACATTAAAGCGCCGTTGAACAAATGGGCGTCTTTTAATACGTATAAAAGTCACTACTTCTCGTTTTCCTCTAGGTCCCTTCAAGTCCTAAATTTTATAATTTTAATATTTTGAGTTTACAAAAATCAAACTATATCAACGTGCCTTCCATATTTGATATTTATCTTACCTACTAAATAAGGCCCATCGTGGTAACCAAACAAGCTCAGGGAGAACGTTGATATATTCGATTCCTCCATAATCTTCTGGATTCCAAGTTATAAATTCATCACGCCAGTGCTGAAGTACAAATAAACATTTTTTTGACAAAATATTAAAGGTGTTCAATAATCAATGGACAGACAGAACCTTATCTTGGTACATTCACAAACCTTTTTGGGCTATTATTACAAAAAATCAAGACATTCAAATGTATAAGCACAAATGCCAAAGGGAAGGGTGACTAAAAAAGTGACTAGAAACCCAACAAGAAAAGCAAACTGTAAGTGTAAATCTTTCATAAGAAAAGTAGACCCTATATATCCTAAAATCATGATCTAACGTGAAAAGAAACAATGTCTAACATCCCCCTCCCCCTCCAATCGAGAACCAATATCACAATCCAGGACCTGAACACCAAGGGACATTTCATTCATACTGAAGTCATTACAATACATGTTGAAGAAAAATTGAAAAAATTGATAGTCAATACTCATAACATCAAAAATAGTTGTAGATACTAGTACTCATAAAAGAGTATTCAGTCTCAAATGATGTGGGATAGATAAAATCCAGTCTCGAAGTCCATAGGCAATTCAAAGGGTCAATATCCGTTCGCAAAGCAGAGCAGTGTTTGATTTGCACACCCTACCGCTTGTGTACTTTGGTGTGTTGGCACACCCTGTACGCTTATAACGGTTATGTAATTTTGTTTTGGCATTCCCTGTGCACTTATAAAAGGTGCTTACAAATAACGCAAATGCGAGTAGGTAGTTACCAGTTTCCCCACCAGGTGGCTCGCTCGGGTCAGATAGTATGGCGGGTATAGTAGAAAGTTCCCTTTAACTTAAATTGCATCTGTTTAAGTGGTTCAATTTTCATATAGCCCTAATGTATCGAATAGTTATGCAAATTAAAGTATGTCCAGTAAATGAAAATGTTATATGTCCAATACAAGAAAAGATATTTCACTTTTTGTGATTTTGTAATATGGAGTCTATGGGGAATCAACCCGAACGAGAAGTCACATTTTCAAAAAATGTTAAATTTTCAAAGTTGATAAACAATTTTCGAAACCATATTTTTAGATGTATTTTAACATGTAGATTTCAAATATGACATCACTTTGACTGAATTTTGGATATTTAATGATGCAATCAAGATCATTTCTACTCGCATCTAGTTTATTGTATTCTGGCAAATGTATTCCAAATGTAACGTTATTGCGTTTTTGCACAGCCTGTGTACTTGCAAGTGTGTTGAAAGGTCCATTGACCGAGATATATATTTTATAAGTTCAAGACTATCGTGTCTAATAGTTATACCAAATCAATTAGACTAGTTATCATCAATTGATTAACCAAGAATGGATTCCACTAGCTTGGTATTTATATTTGTACAGGTGAGACCTTTCAGATCTAAAATTAATCAACTAATGTACGAGAAAGTGGCACTAATAGCAATGTAATGTGAAGAAATAATTGATGTTTTAAACGGACAATGACTGATAAGGTCTTGCGGATTGCGGATTGCCGTATAACAATTAATCATACACTCATTTATCAGTAAGGACATTAACTTCTTATATGGTCTCCGTTTTTTGTTTGTTTCTAGTTATGGTTAACTCAAAGTATCGACCTATATCCCGATCATTTCTTGTGAATTTTGGAATTTTTCGTTTGGAAATAAGACCAAATTTCACGATTCAAATGCCGAAGTGAACAAAATGGCGGCTGTTTGAATTCAAATTTTGTAATCAGGACATGCCCATATATAGCGAAAATATCAACTCTGGGAGCCAACTCTCCTTGTTAAACCGCTTGAACGGCTTTAAATAATCTAATCGATTCAGACAGGGGGTGCGGGGGGGTCGGTTGAGCACTTTTCAAGTAATTTTGGGTCAAAGTTGTCAATTGTTTATCCCCCTGGATTTTGTGACCACCCCTTGGCAAAAGCTGGCTACGGGCCTGCTATTACTTACGCTCTCCACCCATCCCGTAACAGTCAGCACTTGGTCTTTCTCTCGCTGAAATATTGGACAGAATTTGAATAAATTATCTATATGGTCGATCAAGTGCTATATGATTGTTTATTTTATATTCAATAGCGTTTTTGTTGTGAATACGTTCCTATGTTATGTTATGAGAGTAACTAGATTTTTACATTTGAATTACCAAGTAAAAATGTAATTTGGAGGAATTACGTGTTTTTATGAGAACTTGTACGCGAACGTGAAAATTATGACCCACAGGCAATGAGGCAAGTAAAAACTACGAATTGGATAACTAATCCCTAGAATACTACAATTCTTTACACGTTCATGTACTTAAAATGCGTAAGTTACCCTCGTTATACTATTTTACTTACCAACGCATCTATTTGTGAAATGTAAAATTTGATGGCAACCTCTACGCTGTCCTTTGCATTTCGTTTTGGAAGTGCATTTCTGTTGTATCCAGATTCATAGAACAACTTACTGAGCAGTCTGGTCTCGTTGGAGAGAAACACAGAATTTGTCAAATTATGGGGATGGGGAACCTCGGAAGCTAAAACAAAATATGTATTACTTACTTGAATGTAGTGAGGGGAATCTGTGTAATTTATCAATCGACAAATCAATCAATAAGTAAACTATACTCTTTGACATGTAGACGTTTATTGGCCCACCTTGCAGTGTCATGAATGAAATTCATCTTGCTTTTGTTTCCGACAGTGAACAAAATACTTGCGTATTCTTTTTTTTTATCACAATACGCATTAATACCTGCAATAAGATCTCCCTTTCTCTCGTCTAACACCAGGAACAAAATGATGCACATCCACATATTGTATTACAGAGCATATATTTAAATATTTGACATCAAGGTAAAAATGTTTGTTCCATCATCAACTGGCCATGGATCGTTGTATCAAACTCTGTCGTTCGTAAATCGATGACGTTTTAGTATTCGCATTTCTTTTACGTAGTGTTTTTAACACCCTTTCGTACTGCCAGTTTGAATAGTTGTTTTAATGGGGTTAAAGAATAGATCAGTGACATAAAGTTCCTAGCCTGATAGAATCCAATTATCCAGAAACAGAAGAAACCACTAATTCACATTGATTATCAATGTATGTTTTAAGTGAAATAATTGAAAATGAATCCTTGCAAAATCTGTTTCAAATGAATGATTATCTCAGAAATATCATTGTTCGTTTTATGTTCTGATGCATCTTTTATATTCTTTATTAATTACGATTTGAATAAATGTATCAACTTCACATCTGATTCTGGTACATATCTCCGGTTACTCGTCAAATATAACTTATTATACAAAGGAATTTTGCAATTAACTCAATTGATTTCCTGAATGTTATCCCATGTTTGGTCTATAGTTAATAGACGTCAATATTACTAATGCTGAAAATCACTGCCCGTTTAATCAAATCACATCATTTCTATGTTAGAAACGTAAAAATCGTAACATGTTAGCAAATGTTTGAGAAAGTGATTTTATATTTCAACTAGTGTCACATCGCTACCAATTTTTAGAAACGAAACATGGAGGCCAATAGTTGGGAAATTGAATACGATTTTCTCTTTCAATAAGTTAAAAATGTATAATGACGTCGAAATAAGAGGTAGCTGCAGTTACGTAATGAATCGTGTAATAGAATATTCGTTCCATCCCTTTTAATTAATTAGATATGATTTAAATAGAATATTATGCTAATGAAATGAACACTTGCGACCTTGGGATATAGTTAAAAGAAATAAGTTTTCGAGAAAGAAATTTTCGAGAAAGAAATTTTCGAGAAAGAAATATTTTCAAGTTCTAGGTAAACAAACACACTTTGAAACAGCAGCAGATATTTTGATTTTGAAACACATCATACCGTAATTGCGTTCTCTAACGTCCGCGCGATTGCATAAATAAACATCTGAGGTGATAACTACCAAGTCAAAGAAACCAGCAAAGCATCCAAAGTACATCGAGATGGGGATATAAACATCTTTGGTTGCTATGTATCCCGTTTATATCGACGTACAATGAAGTAATCTTCGAGAAAAATATGTCTGCACCTACACTGATCAGATCTGACATCTTTTGATGAAACAGATATAATAGGAAATAAGAGCTCTGTACTTAGCTTTCTCTTGATGAAATCTCATGCTTAGAAGTTATGTATTCTGTGTCCATGGAAATCAAATTGGCTGTTCAAGTATTCACTCTTGAAAAAGTATATTTCTTGAAGACCCCACTTTGGCTTATATTGTAGGCTTACCCAATGTTTTTTAATTTTCAAAAAGTGTTTTTTGTAGGACTTTTTTGTTCGAAAAATCATTAATTTATTTAAAACTTAATTCTTGAGCTCATACTTATCTTTTAATAAGTATTAATTAACATCAGTGAATAGCAGTTACGTAACTTTTGTTACTTGAGTATAATTAAGAAAATTCGTCAATAAATACGCGAGAAATGAACTTATCCATGCATGAAAGTGGTTCAGAGAAAATGTATATTAACATTTTAGTTCTCATTGAAACCAATGGTACATCAATATTTAAAACCTGATATATTCTTCTTGTCCACCTCGTTAGACAATCAACATTGGATTATTTTAAAAGTTTAACATATTATTTAGAAAAATTGACAATTGAAAGACTTTTTTTGACTTTAAAAAAAATCTGCACCCTAAATGACATCACAATGATGTCACTTAGAGTGCAACATTTTAAAGGCAGAATCAGATCTATAGGGGGTGACAAAATTACAAGCAATGTGCATAATTGACCTACCAATCTATTCCTTACAATATCAAATACAATATCTCCCAAAAGATTCACAATATGTTATAAATTGTTGAAGTTATTAATGATTCAAAGTGCAAAAATGGGTGAAAAATGTTTAAATTCTCCCAAATAATAAGAATGGTAACCATTCTTATAGAAAAATAATACATTATTTTAAAAATATTTTGTTTTCCTTGAATTAAGTATGCACTTTTGTGATTTTTAGAAAATAGACGTGACAAGGAATGACATGAGCCAAAAATATTCTAAAATTGATACAATTTTTTGTTTAGCCTGCTCGCTATCTCTGATTCTCTCTTTAATATGCTAAATCATTTAAGTGGCTCATTCAATATCACTGGGGGGTATCGTGATGCAACAACACCGTGTTGTTGCATCAAGATGGCCAGACTTCCGGTGATAGATTTTCGTACGATATTTTGTTTCCCCAATTAAACCCATTTCTAGGACGAGTTGCTCAATAACCATACACGTGCAGTTAGCGCACGATCTATATTTAAAGAAACTGTCATTAGTATACATGTACCATCACCAAGAAGCAATAAGTTCACGGTTTTAGCTCCTCACTATTGATGCAACAACACCAAACCGAAGATGCAACAACACTCCTCTGGATTTGAGCAATGATGCAGCAACACCAATTAATAGTATAATTTCAGAAGACCATAAATCTCGAGAGGAACAGATTTTTAAATGCTACTATTGCAACACCGTTACCAATTAGCCTATCCATATTTGCGTTCTTCTCAAGGCATTCAAAATACACGTCCTGCGGGCGAAGATCCTTTATATACAGGGTGTCAAATAAGTCCCGTCCCCCCCTCTACAGCCAAAACCAAGATATTTGGTACCAAGTGTGATATATCATTGGAAAGGTCTTCCAAAGTTACGTTGATTGGCATATATCTGACACATGTCAATCAATCTCAGAAATTTTTACATTGTATCAAATGAGGTGACCATATGCCTAGAAACATGGCAAATTGGCGTATTTGGCACGATTTTAAGAATCGTGTATAAGAAAGGTCACGGGACCAAAATATGACTAAATATGTTTATGGCGATGAATTAAACCTATTTCTGGATAGGGTTAGATGTGTAGAAAAAAGAGGTGCAAGGAAAGTGGTGAAAACCTTTTTGTAACAAGTGGAATCTGAAAAATATTAACTTTTTGATGTATTTCTGAGGTCATATCCTTGTCATTTTGACGCAAAAAAGCTACTTAAAGGAGGGCAAGTTAATTTTAAAAGACATCAAAAAAATATAGATAAATTTCATCCAAAATACTTGAGAGTTGGTGAGTTAATATAACTTTGGATGATCTTTCCAATGGTATATCACACTAGGTACCTTCTGTTAAGGTTTTAGCTGTAGCAGGGGGGACGGGACTTATTTGACACCCTGTATATTTTCAAAAATTTATACTTTTACATATTATAATGTACTGGACGTTGTTCTATAACATAGTTGAATCGCCTTTAACATGGCAAGCTTTAGTAACCCAATCTATTTTCATAAACCACTGTTCCATAGCTTGATGACCCTGACTCCAGTTAGTATCATTCAAAATGGTGGACAAACATCTTTCGTTCTCGGTAAACATGATGAGCTATTGGATATTATCTGTCATCCATTTGTGGAACAGTGATAAACTAGTAGATGTACGTCACCACTGTTTATCAAATTATAACTAAAACAGTTTAACTGTGACATTCGTGAGCTTATGTTGATGGGATGATTGCTTCATCTATGATATAATATGATATGATTCTTTATTTCCTCCAATTTAGAGAGCCAACGTGTAAAACGTCTAATTGACTTTATTAGAGAGGCCGTTTAATTACACGTTTAATGGAAATCTTGCACGACGCACATGTAGAATTATTGCTCTCTTTGGATTCCTTCTCTCCGACTGAGTAAAAAGGTAAACAAAAGTGATAAGATTTAGGGCCCAAAAAGGTAAATTGATAGGGGTACAGTTATCCCAGATATCCCGGGCCCTCGGGAAATATCATATTGTCTCTCGAAATAAAACCAATATTGAATCCCTCTCAGTAAACAACATTTATATAGTAATAGCATTGTATAACTGCAATATCATTAAACCAACACTCATCCTATACAACTCTTGAGAACGATGTACAACTCCTGGATAGTGTAAACTCCTGAGCAGCGTATACAACTCTTCAACTTGACATATGACATCATACTTTGGGTGGGATAACAAAGGATATACAATATACAATTGTAGACCTCTCTTGAGGTCAACTGGCAAAATTGTATACCGATACTGTAATCCTTGAAAGTTCGGAGGTCGAGGTCAACAGTACTCCCAGGGTTTACTGTTGAGGTATACACTTTGGCCAGTTGACCGAATAGAGAGGTTAACAATTGTTTGTTAGTCTGAGGATATAATATACAATTGTAGACCTCTCTTAAGGTCAACTGGCAAAATTGTATACCGATACTGTAAACCTTGAAAGTACTGTTGATCAAGACCAGAGGTCGAGGACACTTTTGCCAGTTGACCGAAAAGAGAGGTTAACAATTGTTCTGTTAGTCCAAATAATATAATAATTGGACGAATATATAATCGAATATCACGTGAACATATTTGATAAGTAAAGGTATCATATTTTAGCAAAAATCCCCAAACCGTCGAATACTTGTAATTTTTTACACAACTTATTTTTTCAAAATTAAAAAAATTTCAACATTAAAAAAAAAATTTCAAAAATAGGGGTCAACAGTAAGTAGTAGTGGTCAACAGTTTACAATTGTTGACCTCCCCAGAGGCCAAGCGGCAAAATTGTATACCGAGACTGAAAACCGAAAAACTACTGTTGACAGAGACCGAAGGTCGAGGTCAACAGTAGTTTCAAGGTTTACAGTCGAGGTATATGATTTTGACGGTTGATCGAATGGAGAGGTCTACAATTGTTTTGTTAGTCCGAGTAAACTAATAATACGACAATCATCAATCGGCATGGCTTCATTTCACAACCTTTTCTCCGAACCATGTTAGCAATATTTTTTGTTTAGAAAATATGGAGACAGTGCAAGTAGCTTAACTCTGTATTTGGCACATCACGGCGTACTCGTTAGTGAATTAATGTTAATTTTAGGTTTCTATTTGTATTTTTGCTATACTTGTCGCCTAGTAAAGTCATTTTCATCAACGTTTACAAAATGTCCGTCTTCCATGTTTTTTGTGACGTCATGAAACTTTTTTTCAAAAGTAGTGGTCAACAGTACCTAGTAGCGGTCAACAG